AATACCCAATAGCATCATAAGTCTCTTAAGTTTTGAAAATAATATGAGATTAGTGATGCCGCTCCCAGTAGTTGTTTTTATTATTCCTTAAAGAGGCAAGATACATGATTTTGTAGGTATATATTCCGTAATTTGAAGTATAGAAAAAGTCATATCGGTTTAATTTATTGAACATGTTACTAATGTACACTATGAGAATAAAACCGATCGGCTCTTCGGAAGGGTTTTCTAACAACAGTTCCTGAAACGATTCTTCCGAAAGGTTTACAATAAAGTAAACGTAAGCTTGGTGAAATGCCTGACTAACTCTTGTTAGGCAAAGTAACGGGGAAGTCCTTTTTATTATAGTGAAGTAGCTGTTTCCTGAAGTTAAGCACATTATATTTGATTCGAGATAACGAGTGAAACAACCCTTTCCGCGTAAATTGTTACAAAAAAGAAAAGGGCAGAAAGGGTCCCTTGTATTCGTACATTAGATACTAAAAGTGGAATACGTTCTCTTAGAAGCGCGTAGTTAAATCAATTTGGAAGGGTCGCGCGGCTTGCGATACATTCGTTCTGTGAGGAATATTTTATTATTTAGCTTACGGCCTTGAGACCATTAGTTTTCAGTTGATTTTATTTTACACTGACGCAGCTTCTGTGAAATGAAACACAGATGAACGTGATTTGAAATTTAAAGTGATACAAATTTAGTAATCGGTTACATATTCCTATTATTAGTATTTGGTTCCATTGATTGATTGAATCAGTCATATATATCTGCAAATTTTTTAACGAAATGAATATCAAATTGTTTATGGAACAATAACATCCTCAAATTCAAGGATATTTTATATGTAGCTACTAAGACAGCAAACAAACATACGGCAGGCGTGTTGGATTGCGTTTATAAACACTCGCCATACTAATAGTTTCACACATACATTGACAACTCTTTTAAGCAACCAAACAGTACATGTTTACAAACTATCATCGTAATATTAAACCCTGGGTGGTAAGCCAATATCCTGTGAGATGTTCATTTAAACTACGACCTACGATGTTGTTACGACAGAACATTACACAAGATACTAAATGCTAGATACAGGAACAACTATGGCCATAAATTAAATTATCAAATAAGTATAATTTCTAATAAGGTATTACCCTCTTCTTTTAAATATTACCATTCAGACTTAAGCCTCAAATATTGTATACGAGCGTGGGTGGTTCATAGTGGTTTAACTTTACAGCTCCAGGTTAGGAACAATCTTGTGCATTGTACACAGGCAATTAAGCAGTACCTGCCTCGTAAGAATTTAATTACACAAGTACTAACGAATAGGGTAATTACATTTTTATGAGGTAGACATTGCTTGATTCTCGTATGCAAAAGAGAGTACTGGCGGGTAAGAATAACTTCGTGTGCCATGGGAGTAGTAAATTAGGTCTTAGAATGAGAATATTAAACTTTGTATTTTCATCCAGGTAGGCTGGTACCTAAAAATTACGAAATTTAAAAAGTTTTAATACATGAAAAACTAACACAAACAGTTCCCATATCAAGAATCAATGAATAAGTGAAAAAGCTTAGTATAGTCCAATCATGCTGTGTTAAGCTATATATTATTTGAAAGCTATTGGACTGGCCTGTTGGTCTAGTGGTGTGACCCTGACTGCTCCGCCAGAGGTCGTGAGTTCGATTCCCACCTAGAACAAATAATTGTGTGATGAGCACGGTCATTTGTCCTGTGTCTGGGTGTACTTTATCTATAATATGTATGTATTTAGAAATATATAAGTATGTTTATCAGCAGTCTGGTTACCATAGTACAGGCTCTGCATCGTACAGTTTGGGATCAGCCCGCGGTTTGTGAGATGTGTGTGAAAATATTATTATTTATATTATTATTATATTGTAATATTTTCAACGGTGTTTAATAATCAATTACACCGGAGTGGAATTGATATACATCGGAATAATTACATAGTTCGGCAACAAGCAAACGGACTGCCTGATGAGGAAGTATTGCTGCCAATATATACACTTAAAACCCATGTCATCCCTGATGGAGTGCCCTAACGTCTACTGAAAAATAGAAATAAACTATTACCCTTTACTATTACCCTACTACCTTGAATGGTGAAGCGTCGATTGTCTAGCATTTGATAAAATAAACATTTTGGCGTGGAATTATAAGTTTCTTTCTAAGGAGAGGCCTATGTCCAGCAGTGGACTGTTAAAGGCTGTTGATGATGATGATGATTATAAGTTACTGCATAAGTCATTGAAAATAATCAACTTGGATAGGGTTTTTGGAGAAAAGGTTTCAGAATTCAGAGGTTTGATTGTAAAAGCTGTGAATTCTGAAGCTCTGAATCTGAGCGTGCACTTACAAAAAATGACAGAAAAGATATTCTTCAAGAATTTTTGCACAAAAGAACAACACTTTGTAACGTGAAATCAATTTTCCCGCTGTCTGCCGAACATCCAGAAATATCCCACTGTATCCGAAACAGCTTGTGTGCTCGCTGATAACATTATTCGCACTCTTTATTTCACGCTTCGATACGGAACCTTTAGTTCGACGAACCATTGCTGTGTAGTGACGTGTGAAACAAATCACTGATAGGAGTGACCGATTCAACCACCTATGCCATTACACATTTTTTGGGAATGAAATGTTCGTTGATTGGTAAGCGAACCTATTGCAAAAATATTACATTCAGATTTATCTACCTGAGTATCTAAAGGTTCAATGAATATGCACATAATTGAGTATGCACTATCGAAACGTCAATCATAAACATCTTGTTTATGATTAACAAAATAACTTACTACGAGTATTTGGGATAGTAAGAAGAAGATACGAAGAAGATGTCATAATTTATTCGATTTTCCAGCTAGAGCGTCACTTTACAGTTTATTATCTATTTGTATTGGCAAAGATTTAGCCTGATCCTCAAATACATTTCTTTAGCAGTTTATTCGAAATTCGGTAATACGCATTTTTCAGGAACTTCAAAGGCTTTAAACGTTAGACCCAGTGAATAAATTTAATTTTGAGTTAACTTAATAAAGGTAAAGCTCCGGAACAACCCTATAAACACGCAGTTTTAAAGATTTATTTCTTGATCTATATTTTAATTATGAAGCGTATCAAATTGCTGCGACACTCATTGCCACAAAATCAGACGAAATATTTTCAAATTGTATAAGGGTTTAGGAAGACTCATACCGATTGACCGTTGTAGGTTCCCCAGTATTCTTAAATCATAAGAACATTAATGGCCTGGGCAGACTCGAGTGATACCACGGCCTCATAGAAAACAGGTGTTAAGCAGTTCTTACAATACTTTGCACCGAGTGAGTGAGGTTACCGGAGTCCAAACCCTCCCCCTCATTCTAGAGGGAGATACTGAAAGTGCGACCACTCATTTGTGACTATTGAGTCGCAGTTGTCCGTGGGCGGCGGTAGTCACTTGCTATCAGGTGATCCGTTTGCTCGTTTGCAATGCTATAACACGAAAATTCATATAACAAACATACAACAAATGTAACAAGACAGATAATAACAAAAAAATAGACTACATATATGCAAAGGACACATTTAGGATAAAAGAAAACATTTAAAAAAGGATTGTTACAAAAAAATTGTTAACGATTACGAAAGAATTTTCCTATAAAGAAACTAACCAGTTTGATTTAATCAAAGATTTCTCTGTACAAAATGTTTCCTCTTAACCTTTTGGATAAAAGTTTCCTAACGTTAACGAAAAAAAATAAAGTATACTACCAACTCAATAATACGCTCAGACACTCGCATATAAAAATAGATCGTTACGTCGTTTTTTTTAACCATATAGCTACTAAACCGCAAGCATTAATAAAAAATTATAGTAAGTATATCCCTCTGTAAACTTTTAAATGCGTGCCAACCAGATGGGTGCCCTGTGAAATTGCATTTTTGTCTTTAAATATGTACAATTCCACAGATTTTAACTGTGTTCTTTACTATGTTCTGATGTTTGTTCTATTTTTAAATTAAGAAATATTATTTTAAATAATAATATGGAACAAAGGCTTTACTTTCTACCTCAATTTTACTATGTAATACACAAATCATATTTAAAATAAACGTTTGACTCTGAACAAATTTATTTTGCACTTAATCGCCATTTCGTTATGGAACGTTAAAATTTAATAATATTTTCCTAAAATACTGTTGATGGCAAATATCAACTATCATTTGTTTATATTAAATGTTCGCATTCGCATCCTGAATCCGCAGTGCCTCTCCTCGTTACAAGGATTTTTTAAATATTTGTTTTGACTTGACAGGTGATAATCACATTGCCGACCTTCGCTGAGAATATTACTCATGCCCGAAAATGTTATATCATATTTTCACATTTTGTAGAAGCTCCAGGGAAAAATATTAATTGTTTTCTTGTAATAAATAACTATACGCCAACAAGGTTTACTTGCCTCTGGAGATATGATAATAAGTGTTTTTCTGAAATTAGTTTTTTGACCTTTAACAAAAATATATTCCACCATTAGAAACATGTTGGCACTGTTTTAATTTTTTTAATATTTTAATTTAATTAGGTGGTACCAAATCAATAGGTATTCTAGTACCTGGGGTTTTCTCTAAGTCATCATATCTTTCTTAATTTTTATTATTACAGTGATGTTAGTTCTCGAACTATTGCCCATATGCTATAGCCCAGCGCCCCTTCAGTATACAGATTATGTCGGAACCGCAAAAATCTTTTTGTTTTGTCAATAGTCATACATTATATATTTTTTTCATTAAGTCGTTCCACAGTTACAACCCCTATTTTTGTTACCATCCTTATTAATTAAAAAATAATAAAAGTAGGGCTTTGCTAATCAGACTAAAATTATATTAAATAACTAAATAATAAAAGTACTCATTTAAGTAAAGGTACAGTTTTCCTTGTAGAGGCTCTTTATTATAACTCTTATACTTATTAAATCATTTTGTTTACAGCAAGTGACCTTGAGTCAATACGAGCTTTATTCAATGAAAAAGAGAAAGAGCTGTCTGTGGCGGTGGCTAAGGTGGAGGAGCTGACGAGGCAGCTCGAGGAGTTGAGAAGAGGCAGAGTTCAACCCGCACCGCCGTCAGCGCACGAGCTTGACAAGTTTAGGAGGGAATTGATGGTGAGTGATAGCACTAGTAACTAACCTTAAAGTCTTATTAAAGAGACGTTAAATATATAATGGGATACGTGTAAGTTTACTTTGGTAGATGTTAATTTAATGGAATTTGTTAATTTAACTTGGTTGTCTATTAATTTAATGACTATTAAGTGACTATGTTATTCGTAACACTGTTACCAATTAAGTTTCAAGCCTTTATGTGTTTTTCACAAGTAAACTTCTAATTTACAGGCCAATAACACAATAAAGTTACTACGGGCCCTAAAAATAACGAAACGACTATATCGATATTGAATGGACAAAAAGAACACGGTGTCTGCGACATCGTATTTTTTATTATTAGCTTTATTAGGTTAGAAGATCTGAAGAATGTTTTTTAGATTTTTTTTTGTACCACCGGGTATTTTATGTCGTCCTTTTCTAATAAATATTACAGAATTTTATAAAGATTCGAGTATTTTTTAAATCGCTATGAAATAATAAGGGCTTTTGAGGACGAGTCATGAGTCATTTTTTTTAGACTATAACAATATTTTGATTTAGTACAACGCTTGAGAACAGAAGTTTTTCTATTTTAAGGACAGTTTTAGAAGATTGCTGCTAATCCTGTAGATAAACCTACAATATCAGAGGTCTTTATGGAAAATCTTTTTATTAATGTACTCGTACTTGAATAATGAATAAGGATTGCAACTTAGTGTAATTAGTTTAATTTTACTTTAAACTGCATAATATTTTAATTTAGAAGTTATATTTTAGTGTCAAATTATAGGTCTGTGTATTTACAGTTTATTATACGAACAAAGAAAGAAAAGTTGAAAGAAACCCTATTCCAACCAGTCTGGCTAGCGTGGTATAGTTACTGGACATAGGCCTCTTCTTAGAAATAAGGTTAGACCTTATTTCTAAGAAGAGGCCTATGTCCAGTAGTAGACTAGTAAAAGTTCTTGATGATGATGATGTGGTTTAAGAATCTTTATTTCTCAAAAGAATTTACAAAATTCACTTACTGAGAAAACATACATAAAAGTAAAAAATAAATCCATTGAGCGTTTGAATATAATATAAAATAAAAGTGGGTAGTAAAATATATTTTGCGTAAGATTACGAACTTGCAAAACACTCGAACACAGAAAAATGATGATACGGATGAAAATCAAAAAGTTAGCGTCTTTCGTAACATCTGTATTAAAGAAACAGGATACCTAAAAATGCTATTGACTTAATAACTGCCACATCGATTCTCAGCCGAAGCCTCGCATTCTTAAGAGGAGTGTATATAAACCCAGTGATGGGAAAAAAAACATCTAGTTTGGCGAGGTGCATGAACATGTTTGTATCTATTGCGATTACAAGGTATTTTTCTTTGTGTCACATTGAAAAAAGAAAGAAAAAAAATTCACATATTATGTACTTATTTTAAATCTTGTCTACTTCAGTCTTATAACTTTGTGATATTGTCTATTATTTTTTTGGTATAAGACAGATAGATCTATGAAAATTATGTAGTAAATAAGAAATATTAATGCACAGCGTTCAAGATAAATGATAAGACACGATAGGATTAAAACTGTTTCTATTATCCTTTTAATTACAGCCGTTTAAAAGCTTACAAGAAGCCGATAACAGCCTTAATAGCCTCTAAAGGTATTCAATTTTAGCATTTAGGCTACCTAAACGGCCTGTCTTTTGGTCTACAACATGAAGGAATATTGATGTGTAGACCAAAGCGAGCGTTATAAAAGTAGAGGCAACCGCTATGTAAGCGATGACCCACGAAAGATAAGGTAAGAATCTTGTTATATAGAGGAAATACTTACCATTGTTCTTGCACCTCCTAATATCCTTCTTAAACCAAGTATATAAATTAAACGATTATGCAAGGAAACTCTATATTTAAAAGTGATGTGTTTTACGTTAAATATATCGAAAACTTATTTTGAGCAATGAATAAGTTTCGATTTATTTTTTAGACTCTTTTTGTTGATGGACTCAAGGACACGGAGATTTATAAAATCGCTTCGAATCTCCGAGGCCTTGTGGACACAAAAACCACCCCGACAGCTGGTTTCGTACGCTCTACTCTGGGGACGACCAGAACATGTGATTTCAGGTCCCCCCTTAATCGACACTATGCCTAACCAGGCCCTATTCGGGGAATCCGCAAACTTCCCCCGTCAATCGCTTATATTTTTCTTTTACCCAAAGAACATCGAAAAAATAGTCAGCTCTGTATATTACTCTTTTAAACTTTTATGACGGTTTTTAATAAGACAAACATTTTTTTCTTTCTTACTAAGGACAATTCGAGCTAATCTATATTCATAAGCACTAAACATTCCAAAGAAAATGTATATTTCTTCTTTCAGATTAAATCTGAACACTTAAAAAATATGTTTTTAGAAGAAAAAATAATTAGATAAAACTAACAACGCTATGTTAGTCTTGACTCTACTACAACACTTTTAATTTAACTTCGTCAGTTCATTGAACTTTGAATCAACTTCAACAATTTACTTACAAAATAATTTAGATAACAATGACCTATTTATAGGGTTCTAAACTTGACTTATTGCTTCCCCGTCTCGTTTAAAGGGAGAGGGTTGAAACTTCCGACAGCGGTTTATTTTATCTTAATTAATTAAATTGAGATGATAACCGCACGGTTGAATTTAAGATAAGCCAAGAGGACCTGAAGGAGATGGCAGGTACGTATTTAAAGGGGAGACGACCAGGTGTTGTAGTCATAATTCCTCTTAATACAATAGTCGGCTAGGAATTGAAACCAGTCTCAAGCTGCATAGTGTAAAAACATTATAAAGCTCGGAATAAATCTAGAAGATAATTTATTTAAAACAGTATCACACGCAGTTTGATTAAAATAAAAATAAGTTTAACAAAATTAGCTTTGATCTAATATTTCAGTGAAGAAGTACAAACTTCCTGTCAGAAAAAGTTATTACCTCGATATATATCATTACGATTACTCACGAAGTGGTTACGCCTAACACGAATGAAAGAAGTTTCGAATACTGAGTGAAGTACAAGTAGGGACATGCACCAAAACGCTAGTAGTACTATCGTTAGATGTGTATGTGGACACACACACATGTGTATGTGAACATATTGCGCCCACTTCGGGCACTGCATTATTATACTTGTAATTTACTTACTTTCATTTTTTGTTAGCTAGAGGGATGAAGCGGTGACATGCTGTCCCAACTTGGAAAAGTCTTGATATGATCCACATACATGAAAATATATACAATGTTTAACTACATAAATATGTAAAACAATATATATGTATAATACATATGTACAACTAGTTGTTGTTGCTCAAAGTTCTGTTAGTCTTATCTTTTCTGGGTTCAACGTACCATGCTGGTTCTTTTGGTCTCGTCAATATCGGAAATAAAATTATTTGTGATCGTCCCTCGTCCCAGACCAGATCCTTGTCAATGTCTAAAACGAATACCATTGACAGTAATTAGGGGATTATAAAAATCGATGGTTGGCAGGACGAGGGAAAATCTAGGGTTGAATGGGCTCTAATCAATTTTGTGAAAACTGCAAAAAGAAACTTTTCCTGTCTGACAGAAATGACGGTAAAATTGTGTCGCGAAATATGAAGTAGATTACTTTTTAAGTTTGGTAATTTATAAGAAAAGGTTTTTGTTTTTTAATCTTGACATTTATAAAAATAGTTAAAAGTTTGTTACACATCCACACGATACATCTACTTATCAACGATATATGATTACTAAACAAGATTGTTAACACATGGGGCAGTAATATTTGTAGAGAGTGTCGTACGCCAACTAGGTTGCGGGCACTCGGTCGTTAGAACACGTATCTTGGACTTGATGACTGGGGACCTATTCTACGCGTTGACCGTAATTTCCAACAGTTTAGATCATTGCTAAAATATTGCATATATTTCTGTAAATTTTACTTGAGTAATAAATGGAACAAAATTGATAGTTACAGTCGTTATACAGTTGTATCGTTAGAGATATAATTGTACATCAGAATATATTTATAGGATCGTGTTTCAAAATTATCTTACTGGGATTATAACTATGACTTGGCGAGGTGATACATTTTCGTCCGCCTAAGTTAGGAGCCAAATAGCCTGAACCTTAAAAAAACATCCCGAGTTTAAATACAGTCACGAATATAGTTAGTTAATAAATTAAGCAACTATTACATCTTACAACTTTTGGCGGTAGAAGAACTACGCCGGTGGTGGGGTTTTAGTTATTTCCTTTTGTAGGTAGGTAGATATATTAAAGAAAGCCTCAATTCCACAGCATCAGCCTATTTACATATACTAGTTATATGCTTGTGAAATTTATTCTTATTTTAATTATTTAATATTGCTTTTTATTGGTTGTGATTTTTTCATAACAAAAGAAAGATATTTATTAAGCTACATGAAAAAATATATATATACACAAAAAGAAATACTTTAGAGAATAGTTCTTGTATAAGATGACATAAAACTCGCACTATGTTCTGAAATTTATTGCCAAAGAAACAATATTGAATTCGACGAACTGGAATAATGAGACATGCGTCTAACAAGACACTCGGACTGCCTATTTTCCTTGAGACGCACAAATCCGGCGCCTAGTGTACTACATGCAGATATAATAAAGTAACAATGCCCTGAAATAGAATAACAAGGAAAAGTAATACCTGTGACACTATTTTTTCGGTTGGTTAATCTGATAAAGTGGTTGAAGTTTTGCCTTCATATAAATATGAAAGATTCTGCTGTGACGTAGTAATCTTAGTATATAAGACATGTGTAATGTTGTAATCGGGGATTAATAAAGCTATCGCAGTACAAGTAACATCTCTTATTGATTAGTGCGAGTCCCGTCCTTACATGGCGACCCTGCCATTTAAGGTGCGGTTTCGGTTTCGGTATTGGTAGCGTGGTGTAATACAATGACGCTTAGTAGAAATAATTCAACGGTGTTCGTAAACGACGTGTG